TGTGTGTGTGTGTGTGTGTGTGTGTGTGTGTGTGTGTGTGTGTGTGTGTGTGTGTGTGTGTGAGAGAGAGAGAGAGAGAGAGAGAGAGAGAGAGCCCATACCACAGAGCAAATGAGCACTCCACACACCCGAGAGAACGATAAGACAAGCATCGTACCATCATCCACCACATTTCTTGTATCGGATGCATCCGAAGTATCGTATCAATAAAGCTGCTTTCGTCTCCTATGCCTGTGTCGGTTCGGGGCACGGTTCAACCCCGGAAACTGAGGCCTTGTCCAATCCTCGAATGTTTTTTGTCTAGTAGCGCTCTCTTAATTCAAATGTCGTCACTTTCTAGTACCCATCGGCGATGCCGTTCGGGTTTTCCTTCCCTTGCTACCTTCAATTTTGTCCAGTCATGCAATTTTTTTTTGTTCAATAGGGCTACCTCAATTCAAATTTCGTCACTCTGTACTACCCATCGGCGCCGCCTTTCGGGTTTTCCTTCCCATGCTACATTGAATATTCTTATTGTTTGAATGCTCTTGAACACGGGGAGTTTTAACGGTCCACGGAATTGACAACATTAAATGTTGAAAGAGGGCCGTGCGTTGTATTTTGTGCTTTGTGATGCCTCACAATATCCACATCACTGAGCACGGAGGACCGGACAGACCATCAAATGTACAAAGAGGCCCGTGTGTTGTATTTTGCGCTATGTGATGCCTCACAATATTGAAAGTGAAAATGTATAGACGAGTCAAGACAACGGGGGAGAGGTGGGAAAAAGGCAGACCATAAAAGATAGAATAAGCAGGAGTTCGGATGCATCTGAGTATGTGGACAGAACATCACACCACACAAGCCACCAAATGACGGAAGCAAGAAAGACAATCACGAAATCGGCGCCCAAACAACGGGGCGGTTGGTGATAATTGAAAGTCATGTAGAAGCACAACAATGTGGAGCACAAACACGCCGGGGACGTGACAAATCCACCCGGAGATATCCTGGCGGCGTCAACCAGTATAGTTCTGAACCAATCCGAGAACACCCACCAGACGCTCACGAAAAATAAAAAGCAGAAAATTTCATCCGCTGAAGAACGAAATGTTCTTCTACGTCAACCCTTCTACAATACATGAACAAGAAATGGCTAGACGGTCTACTACCAACACTACAAATGAACAAAACAAGTCTAATTATGATAGACGAGATGTGTCTATAGGTGAAACCAAAAGGTGGGCGTAAACCTCTCGACAAACAGGAAGCGAATATTAACATGAACACCCCACAACTAGCCCCGTCGCGCTGCTGAGGGACACCTTTCACGCGGACCTCGCTCGCGAAGTGGTCCAAAGTTCGACCATCACCGGCCACACTCGCCACCGTGTTCAAAAAATCGACAGTTTTACCGAAAAGTGTGGAATAGAAGTCATCTTTGGATGACGAACACGAGAAAGAACCATAGATTTCAAAAGCACATCTAGATAAGTCAATGGCCAAAAGACTCCAGTGTTCGCCACCCTTGTGCACTGGTGCCTATACGAGGTTATGAGACAGGAGGTCGACATCTTTAACCCATCTGCTAACAGTCGCCGGACCTCGCAGAAGCAATTGCAAATACACAAGAATCCCGAGATCAACCCATTAGGAATCGAACCTAAGACCTTCTGCCAAAGAGGCAAAACACTTAACCAATCGGAAAAGTGAGCTGGGATGAAACTGAAGCCCCTTAAGGGGACATTTCACCCCACCCCAGCATGGTATGTATTTTTTAAAAGTACATCCATGACCCGGTGTACCCAGACTCAACTCAACCCAGGCCTTTCGGCCACCTGTGAGACCTCAACCAAGCCACGGCAAGGGCGTCTGACAGGCTTTGCGCGCTTGCAAATACACAAGAATCCCAAGATCAACCCACTAGGAATCGAACCTAAGACCTTCCGCCAAAGAGGC